CTTATTTTCTGAAAATAAGACTCTATTGCTTAAATAACTGTAGCAATTATACAAACAAATAAGATTCTGTGTTCAGTAATAGCTGAGGCAGCTTGAAGCAGTAGAAAGACCATAGGCTTTAAACTCTAATAAATCTGGGTTTGAAGGCAGTTTTCCTACTGCCTTCAATCGTCTTGAACAATCGTCTTGAACATGTTATGTAGTCTAATTTGCCTTGTATTTCCTCATCTGTAACAGAGATAAAAATACCTCAGGGTGTTCGCTTGGGGTTTACATAGGATAACTTATAGATAGGGCTTAACAGAGTGACTGGCTAATACATAGTAGATATCTGATGAATAGTAGCTATTATCATTCCTCTTCCCTAACCTTTTTGAATTGACCCCTGATTAACTTCTGGTAGGTACATAATTTATACTGGAACTACTTACAGGCAAATCTCAGAGATATTTCAGTTGCAGTTCCAGACCACTGTAATAATGTGAGTATCACAGTAAATCGAGTAGCAATCTTTTTGAATGCGGAGGGTCTTGCCTTCTATTTGTTAAAAACAAAAACAAAAACAAAAAACACAACACCTGTGAAGTGCAATAAAGCCAAGAATAATAATGCAAGATATGCCTGTGTGTAGATCAGCAGTTTTTCCCTCTGCTTGGGTCCTGGTTGCGGAGCTATCACAGGTGGGAGTGCCTTCAGGAAATGGTTGCTTTTATGAATTGTAGTCTTCTGCCAAGTGGTTACTAAATTTCTAAGTTACTCAAGATGAGCTGCTTTCCTCACCACAGTGTTGCTGCAGCAAGATCTTGCCTTTAATTCTGCTTAATATCTCGATTCTAACTGACATTTAACTAGCTGGCTAGGAGATGTGGCTTCCTCTTTTACCTGTGGATATAATATCCCCTGTTTAATCAAAGCAAATTTTTGACTCATTTGTGCTATAATATTTTCTTGATATTATATTCTTTCATGATAATTTCAAATTATCAACCGATACATTTAAAACTCCCCTGCCATTGTTATATTATAGTCTGAGACAGCCCATTGAAAAGATTATTTTCTTTAAAAACCCATTTAAACAAAAAAAGTTTCAAATCAGATATAAAAATTATTTCTAGACTCAGGAAAAAAGAAAAGGTGATTCTCAAGAAGATACTGACCTGTCTTCTTATTGGCCCTCCTATAAAGCTGGCAGTACTACCTTCTGGTAGCTGTAAAATGGAATAATAGAAGTATCTACTATATAGGAAACTAGTATGAAATAAATGAGACAATGTATGTAAAGTCCCTAAAACAATGCCTGATACATAGAAGGTTTTCAATATATATTAGCTATTATTTATTTTTGAAAAGACATTTAGTTATTGACAAAGTATTAAAATAGTTTCTAAAAGTTTGTTAGTGAAAACCCTCAGACATTTTTCCATTTCACATCTAGGGAAGTTACTAATGATATAATCCTTGAACATTAAAGGTGAGAAATTCTTCATTTCCCTATATTTTTTCAAAAAATGTGGGTTGGCTATTCTTTATATCTTTGAAATATTAAAAATTCAAAAGGTTTTAAATATGTATGTTTATTTCTAGATGGTTTCTAGTCACTTGGTTGATTGGGCAGCTCTCTGAATGTCCTTCTATCTCTTAACCCTAGTTCCTCTACCAGAAACAGAAGGCAGTGTGGAGTTTATCTTAGCCCTGATTGATTGTGACAATTCTTTCATTTTATACACATTTTGCTTTTCTATCACTTCAAGCACCCCCTCCCACAACCTTGCTATGTATATTGAAACAAGGGCTTGATAGGATCTGAGACAGGAAGGGGGCAGGTTGGAAGGAGGAGATGCAGCTTATAATTCACGCACAAGAGTTTGGACATTATTCTTTAGGTTATAGGAAGTTAATGAAGAGTCTTAAGCAGTGGAGTAATAGGGATTATTCTGTGTTAGCAGATAGGATGAACCAGAGGTAGAAAAACTGGAGGCAGGAACATCAATTGGGTATGATCCAAACAAGAGAGGATAAACATCTAATCTGGGACAGTGGAAATGCGGACAGATCAGGGCTGAAGGGTTGAGATAATATATAAGATAAATAGTAAATCAGGACATGAGGTCTGATTGGATATAATAGAGTCTAGAAGACATCCAGTATAAAATAAGTGCTTCCTCTGTAGCATATTATATTAGTAAGCTAGGGCCATCATAATAAAATACTACAGACTGGGTGGCTTAAACAACAGAAATCTATTTTCTCATAGTTCTTGATGATAGAAGTCCAAGATCAAGGTGTCAGTAGGGTTGGTTTCATTCTGAGGCTTCTCTCTTGGGCTTGCAGATGGCCACCTTCTTGCTGTGTCCTCTCGTGGTTGTCCTTGGTCTGTATTGTCTGTGTCTTGATCTCTTCTTATAAGGACACCAGTCATATTGGATTAAGGCCCACCCTAACAGCCTTCTTTTAACTTAATTACCTTTTAAAAAGGCACTATCTCCAAATACAGTTACATTCTAAGGTATTTAGCCTTTCTTTTTATTTTTCTGTTTAGTACCCATAGTTCTTATAGTAAATTTGGGCAAAAAACTATATAAAAATAAAAACAATAGTGGCATTAATATTTGTAAAATGCTTATCATGTTTGA